CAAAATCCGTATTCACTTGTAATTTCTAAGATGCATACAACGTTCTCAACCAATCTAGTCATCCTCGATTTTTACCACGATTAACATCTTATTTCTGAACTCTCTTCAAGTACGAGATTCCTATCCCTTCACAATAAATTTAGGTCCAATTCAATAACATACACAGAAGATGCCGTGAATTTTTCCTTCGGGTAAACCGGCTGGAACGTAATACTGCCCACGTGTATCCATCTAGCTGTTAAAGAAGCACGTAGCTATACCTTCAATAACCCATACGTCTTCATGCCGAAGTACGTAATTAAACACAGGCGAAAATTGTCTTTAAAAAGAAATTAGTCTAGCCCGTGTAAGTAAGAAGAAGATGAGAGAGAACAAGTTAAAGATTAAGAAGGTGAAGATTTGCAATTCGTTTTCCTTCAAGGTTGGAAATAAGGACTTCAATTCACTAAAATCTCCCAACTACAAGATACTGGCAAAAACTAAGCTACAAACTACTACAACTGCAACATTGAAGAGATAAATTTCACCCACCAGCGATGAACTGGAGATTTCTTAGATGACGTCGTATCTGGACATGGCAATCGTCCGTTGTTTCTCGTGTCGTCTGCTACAAGTTCACTCACGTTTCAGAGCTACGCGCTACCTCCATTCACAAAGATCAAAACGTCTGTATCCTTGCGATGTTGCGATGTGTAGTCTGCTACAAGTTCACTCACGTTTCAGAGGTACGCGCTACCTCCATTCACCAAGGAATAAACAATTTCAGTTGACTTATTTTTATTGGGGAGGGGGGGGAGGGCTCTCTATGACTTCTGTATTATTTCATTTATAATATGAGCGACGTTCTTTGCAAATGACTTGGTTGATCACTACATCTCGTTCCTGCTTTATTTGTGAATCACTCATTCTCGACAATGCGAGCTTTCATAAGTCTGAAATAACAAGGGAATTAATAGAAAGTTTTATTCTTGCCACCATACTCGCTAGATTTAAATCCAATTGGGAACTTTTGCTTTGCCATTAAGCATGCCATAAGAAAAGTGTTGCCAAACTTTTGGCTATCATCAATGCACACTTTAATTTCCTACTACTGGTGATGCCTAATTAATAATTATAACGTAACAAGTCATACAAATGTTAACTGCTGTTAAAATCTGATCTCACTGAAAGTTAACTCAAATACGAAAATTTAAAGACGAAATAGTGACATATGTCGTTCTTCTACCTATTATAAAGAAAGATGGAAACAAAGGTATACAGGGAAGTGTTAAAGTTTCAAGGTTGATTTTTCGTTGTTTCTACAATCGGAAAAAAATATAACTACAAGTAAATAATTTATTTATTAAATAACATATAACAATCTGAAAACTTCATTTAAAATGTCACTGTCGGGCGTTTCACTTATTTCGACTTCCAAAAGCCTGTATTATTTTATTCACACGTTATTTGCATGTGATTTCGTTGTCTCGTCCCTAATTTCCGTCTGTATCTCTCATCAATGCACACTTTAATGTCCTAGTACTGATGCCTACGCTACTATAAAATTGAAATTATTTCTCAATTACTTTCATTGGATGCACTCTGTCTACGTCAAACGTGGTCAAACGACCACAGGATTAGTCGACGACAGAAATGTGGACTGTACGTCTGTTCTGTCATATTACTGTAATCACACTTATATGCGTAATTAAGGGCAAAGCTATGTAAATAAATAACGATAATGTATTTTTCAGCTACATGAAATTTTTTCAAATTGAAAAATCTTCCCCGTTTTATACTTTCTGTTACCAGACGCTTAAATCATCTCACAATTACTTAACTTGATGCAGCAAAGTCACTGAAAAGCTATCCCTTACTCAGATCATCAAAAAAGAAAATCCCCACTTTTTAAAATCCTGAATATCTTCTTTATGATTTACCAGAACCTACCACTGCAACTTAACCCAAAGCACATAAATATGGTCTACGATCTCTCACACCCTATTCATTCCTCATCATTTCTAATATTTTGGGAAAACTAATTGTGTCTTTGCTGGATTCCGCTGATACTCCGTTGCAACACAGCGGCTGGACTGTAGAGTTGATCTTGTTAGTGGTTAAGAATGCATGCAGCTACGACTCTACACCAATCCGTCTATCCTCTGAGGGTAGGAAGAAGGCGAAAAATAAGAAAAAGAATAAATAGAAATAATCTGAAATCATTTTACTCGAATGATGGAAACAAGCAAAACATTAATTGGAAACTCACAATTAAGGAACATTGGAAGGAGGGGAAGTTTAACCTCTGCACCCTAGACGTTAGTCGTGTGTTAATTTAAAATTAAATTCATTCATTTCACTCACCAACAACGATGGTAGAAACGAAATATGCCGGTATGATGGCCGCCGACACTGGAAACACGTAAAGTTCTCAATAAAACACGACACCGGAAGCAAATCAATTGAAGGTGGATCGCGCATGCTGAAGACAGCCTACGTCCTTCCGTTACAGAACATACGATGACTCAAAAAGTAGATATGCACTCACGTACACATACGTGTCTTTCCTGTCACGTGATCTTCTCCACGAGAGTCTTCATTGTTTTCCTGCAGATTTGGGTAGACTTTTGAATTACAGTATGAAGCAGTAGTTTCTGGGAGCTCTGTCTACTTCCATCGCCACGTGAAGGACAGCCACTCGGTCGGGTCCCCGGCAGAGCATAAATTTCACCCACCGGCGATGACCTAGGGCTGGAGACTTCTTAGATGACGTCGTCGCTGGACATGGCAATCGTCCGTTGTTTATCAAAACGTCTGTATCCTTGCGATGTTGCGATGTGTAGTCTGCTACAAGTTCACTCACGTTTCAGAGGTACGCGCTACCTCCATTCACCAAGGAATAAACAATTTCAGTTGACTTATTTTTATTGGGGAGGGGGGGGAGGGCTCTCTATGACTTCTGTATTATTTCATTTATAATATGAGCGAATTTTCTCTTTTTCCGTATATCTATTTAACACTTCTAAAACGATCTTTAATGACTTTTCCTTTCTGTGCGAAACACTTGCAACGGAGTTGGACCTAAACAAAAGAAAACCAAACATCCTTTAGCGACAAAGGAAAACAGCAAAAAGATTCTTCCTTTTTTGCCTAAATAACAACGTAACTTAAAAATCGTGAGATAGCGGAAAATAATATCTCAGCGTACTCAGTGATACCTCATCGTTTCAGACGTCTCGTGGCGGTGCGGCGTCCGGGTGGAAGTGGTTGCGGAACTCCGGGTGCGATGAAGATCCTCCTCTGAGTTTCGGAACTACGAAGATTCACTTGCTAGTGAAAAACCTAAAATCTGACGCCGATGCATTTCCTCTGAAACCAGACAGAATGCCCCATATAATGACAAGAATTTATAATCATACACCTTTTATATGTAGAGTGTCAAGTTCCATCAGTGGGCATTATATCATATTAATGGAATATAATTTCTCATTGTACTTACAGGAGTCCTTACTTCTGTGCTGCGACAACATTTACGTCGTCTCGTGTCGTATGGCGTAACAGACATCACGATGTCACAATAGTCAAAGCCGAAACGTCCATTCAGGCATCTCGTCTCCTGTGTTTCGTAAGCGTAGACACGTTGTATCGGTAACAGCACACCCGAGACCCCTTGGGGCAACAGCAGAGAGAATACGGCACGTGTGAATATGATGTAAGTCCACCTCCGAGATCTGACATCGTCAACGTCCAACAGAACTACATTTTCCTTATTCAGCCAAGTTTTTTAAGATTTAAGGGTTCACGGCGGTGAGAATGGTAATAATAATGTTCTCGGTTTGGTGCCGCGTACACTCGACGGGGATAAAACAGCTCGCGAAAAACATACAATTTCAATCTTTATTAAATCTCGTGAATCTCCTGAGCGTTGGCATCTAAAAACTTAAGTAATATCTCAGCCTACTTACAGAACTCTCTACTTCAGAGTAGAGACTATTTCAAGCAATTCACCTTGTATGACTTTATAGAGGATGCATCAAGTCGAACGGCAACAGGAGATGAGATCACGACGTATCTCCTCCTGTCGACTTTCCCAAAGTCTACGTTCGTGTGTACAACGTCAGAGTCCTAGAGGATCGTTATACCACTCCAATTCCTCCGTGGAACATTTGACCGGTGAATCACACCGCCCGACATCAACGCCGATAAGTGACGGTCGTTATCTCTGCAACCCGGTTAAATTTGTATTCATTATGACCCGATAATTTTCAATGATAAGGTCAAATCCACGAGCTAATTATAATCAGCCCATAGAAGGCAATTACATCAAACGGCAGTCGGAGCACCAATCCACTAAAATTTCCATCATCAGACGTTGAATGAGTAGGAACATAGGCGGAAATCCACACACACAGCATTAATCAACGAGAATTTATTATTTGCACGTGAGATTCGACGATTACAATTTTTAATATTAGAAGTCTCGAGGTCAAATAAAATCTAACTCCACGGTTTATATAATTTTTACAGGAAATTGGTAGCTACTTTGATTATCACAAAATCGCCCGCATTCTTGAAACATATAAAAAAAAACATTCCTTTGTGCCATATTCTGAGCATGCTTAATCAAGTCTACAACTTCACTTTTATGATATGTACTTTAATGTCTAATTTCTATCTACGCTTGTAAATTGCATAATTACGAAATGCGTAGTTGGAATGTTTTTTGGCTTCAAGAGACTTGTCAGAAGACTTACATCAAAATATAATCCAGGACGTACCTAAGTAAATAAGTCGAAAAAACGTGAAATATATTCATCCGACTCAAGACATCCTAAAGACCGATTATCGCTTTTGTGAAGACGGTAACCGGATTTCGTGCTCCCTAAACGGCAATGAATTTCTTCAGTAGCTGAGCGACTGTCAGATTCTCGACAAGGACTTTACTCCGTCGGTTAGTCAGAAACTCCTAGTTATCCCTTCCCTTCTTATCTTGATGCTGACTGAAATGTGCGCCAGTTTCAACACCTGATACAGAGTTACGGCTTTTAATGTCTGAATATTCTAATTGTCGAAATTAACATAAATGCGCAGAGACGCTTCTGGGTGCTGATGGTGCAAACGGGTCCTCTTTTTCTCGAACCTGGGATTGATTTTGCAGTACCATACTCGAATAATCAAATCTCTCCTGTCTGGAATAATGAAGAGAAAGAAATCACAGATTTATAACTTATTAAAATGTACTTAAGAGATTATATATCCTTCTATAATGCACTTATGTATTTCCACGCGTGATTCATAAGTGGATGTGCTGACTGAGTACTTGAAAATTTTATTCCCAACTCACAAGCACATGTCTGTTCCAAATTTCATTAACTTTATTTCAAGTAACGTACGTTTCGAAACACCATTTATATTTACAGATACAATTTTTGTACTCTAAGTTTTCCTTTCTGAAATGACTAGAATGACAAATTACAACCGTAACTGCTGATTCCATAACAATTTCAATTTTCTGAAATATTTATTTTTATAATCGTGCAATATCGAGTCATCACGACGTGCAGGCACACCGAAAAATTAATTCATAATTGGTTTCACAAATGTTTTCATACGCCCAAATTTAACTCTTTGCATGTCTCTACAGACAGATACATCATTGCGCCCTTCTAGGACTACATACATTCGACCGTTTTGTCCCGTCAGACCAAATATCTCATATTATGCAAATCTGTTTATATACACTGCCGTCAAAATGCCTTGATATGAAAACAACACAATGCACAATCGTTCGATCATACTTATCTCATGTCGGCGTCCTATAACAAATTAATCCACAAATTACTGAGCACAAACGTCAAGACGTTAATGTAGATAGTATTTAAAAATTCTGATATCACTTCAAATAAAACACAACACGCCGGTTAGACACGGACCAGCAGAGTCAAATCAAACCCCTAGACGCACTCTGCGAATAAAACGGAGAATTAATCAACTGTCGAAGCACATTTTGCATGTGTTTTAAAACGTTAAGCACTGATTAAAACCGGACAAGAAGAAACTGAAAACAAATTTTAATCACTTTAACATTAGCCAGAAATTGCCAGAGGGCGGTATCCTCACCGGGAATACAAAGGGCCCGTTAATATCCGGGCATTACAAAAGGTTAGCCCTGAATAATGCAACTATTGCACATAAATAGACAAGCAGAGGACTGCGTCGCCTCTCATTGTTCAAGCACTGCTCCACCGAATAGTCATTCGTTTATAAACTACCACGTGATCACAAGTACTTCACAGGATGTTCAAAAATTCCCTTCATTTTCTGCTGACATTCCATTAACGCATGCTTCAACATAAATGTGTCATCAAAAGCAAATGATACCTTCTAACACCGCGAAAGTAGTCTTAAAGGGAAGGGCGTTGTTAAATAATCAGGGTCGAATATCACGACCTGCAGAACACCCTGTGCCACGGGGCCCAACAGATACATTTTCTGTCCTCTTACCCCATTTCTTACTCGGAGACACGGGCTTTCAAAACGTCGTAATTCTATAATTTTATAATTTAGACGATAGACAAAGTTCAAAAGAAGAATTTTATATTTGTGTTTTAAATTCCGCATTAAAATATACAGCATACTTCAGCTACAAAAATAATAAAGCCTGTCTCAGTAGGTGTATGTGCATTCTTCCTTGTTCCTGACAGACGAACAAGAAACTCTGCGTTTCGCCGACGAATTTCCTTCCACTTGAATCGCCTCGTCGAATTGTCTTCAGATTCCGTGACATGAAGGAGACGAACAATACACTCGAAAAAAAAAAGAAATCACAGAATAGAGTATAAGAGGATTGTTTTCGATAAAAAGGACAAGACAAGGAATTAGGAGCTCACAAGTTCATACAGTTGTAGAAAGAAATAAACGGAGTCTCAGGAGAGTATTATGTCGGAATTGCTGAATCGTTGAGGGCCACGGGTGGGACAACATGGCTCGCAGACATGCGATCTACCTTTCCTTATAAAACTAAGTAAAATTTTCCTAAAATCATAACGCCATTGATCAGAGACCTTTTCAAGAAGTTGACGATGCACTCGGGTTGTCAAGAATTTTCCCACCTTTTTCTAAAACCAATCCCTGTCCTCAGCCAGATGAACCCAATCAACAGTCTTTTAACCTAATTCCATAAGATCGACTTTAATATTGCAATGTTATGTTAAATTCAGTCCTATTACTCAGTATTTGTATTAAAACAAGTCACCAGTTACATGCGTAAAAATGCGTTTCCATCCTTCAACTGTCAATATCGTGTTCAATACATTTCCGAACTGACAACGAACCTTCCTTATACGAGCAGTGCTTGGCAAATTGCTACTTTTATTACTCACTAAAAATAACGTATCTTATTAAGACGGTAACTTCTTTCATCATACACGGTGATAAAATACCACAAAAAAATTTAAGCCACCTTCACAAAAGACGCAGGCGGGCAGCGGCTTCACGATCCCTACCCCAAGCCGCGCATCTGAGAACCCTCGACAACGTGAAAAGTGCTAGTCGAACTCCTGCTATTAACTCCATCTACACCGTAACAGTACTTGCAGAATTTTTAAAAAAAGATTGATATCGCACAAAAACAAAAGATTATTCTACGTGACTTCTCCAGATACCTGATTGGTCTCACTTGTCTCTCGTAACCATGAGCGGTCTTCTAAACCTACGTGGATGCTAAAGAACCACAGACGATTGCAGGGAGATAAAACCAACTTTCATACGGAATTACAAATTCTATTGCACGTATTGCGATTCAGCTATATTTAATAATCATACCACGTACTCCGGACCTTACTGCAGTCGTCATCACCCAGTCAGCTCCTTTGAAACGTCGGTGAATATGTACCAGATTCCGCCGTGCAGCATCCCGGAAGACAGACATCTTCGTAAAAGTCAACCCGAGGACTTCACGTCTCCTATAGCCCTCTTATTTTATCTACTTGTTTATTCATCTCTCCCTTCTTTTCTTGTCATATTTTACATTCTCTACCACCGTCAAATCTCGTTTAAAAATAAGTTACAAAGTGTGCATCGTTGCTTTGTACGACTTTATATACGGGAGGTAGGCAACGGTTCGTACAGCCACAGACACTGCTCGGTACTTCATGGCAATGTAACCGTGTGTGGCGGTGTGTATGTGCCCCTTTGAACTATATTTGGAGCACTTACAGAAAATCGACACAAAGTATTCTGTGTAGGAGGAAGGAAACATTTACGTAGTTACCATTTTGTGCGTGATATGTTAATGGCAGGATCCGTGTGGGCGTGCATTACTAAGGCTTCTCTACTGCAGTGGTCAGAGACCCTTACCTTCACTCAAACTGCGCACAAAGGCAAAATGTTAAATCACTGACCTAGCTCAAATAGCTTTCCGTAATTACACGTCTGGAACGTAAATTCAGAAATGTCTCTAAATTAGAAATAAAACATAAAACAGAAATTATGCAATAACAAAATTAAATTTAGGCAAACAAATGAGAACTCAAGGCTACATTATGAATGCACAACATGGAAGGCAAAACTCATATATACAAATAAGATATACAGGGTTATTCATAATTCAGGGAATCACGAATAAACCTGTCTGGAAGTAACCCACACGATTATTTAAAGTTCGCCTGCAGACAAAAGCGTTGATGTTGGCCTTTTCGCCTGAGACGCGTTTAGACTCGTAAGTACATACCAATAAAACATACTTCATTCCTGAAAATTGTGACTGTGTTTCTCCGAAACGTCGGTATCTACTAACAAATGGGCAACGCGTTTCACCCAACGCCGCAAATATGACCTTCACAGCCGTCACAACCTCAAATCATGTAGGACTTGTATTTGTCTTCCGAGTAAGTCATTCAATTGATGCTTCGTAATTATACTAACACTCACAGACGACAAAACTTATTGGTCATAAAACCACCGATCAATCTGTCGTTAACACAGCCAAGGTTTTAAGCTATGCAATGTTCTGAATTCAACTTTCAATTAGCAACGCCCAAATTGTAGTGACGAAGGTACCGATTCCAAGTTCCCCGCTCTCAGTAACGTACTGACGTTTTCCTGATTTTAAACATTTCTACTGCAACCTTTGACAAGCAAGGCCAGAAGGGGGGGAAATGGCTTTATTATCGGTCTGACAGCTAAATTTTGCCCCCGCTCAGAATCTCATTAACAACGTTTGGGGAAACACCAAGTATAAATTTTGGAGCATCTAAACATTCAGAAAGTTAGAACGTAAATTGGTTATAACCATGAATACGTCCCGCTTACATAACTCACGAAATAAATCCATATTCTTATAGGGGGGTGGGGGTTACAAATGGTTTACGTTGTTTATTTACGTATTTTACATCAAATTGAAACTCGGCGGTGGTTTTATAGAAAACAGATCATTTTAGAGCGTATGAACCTAATTCAAGCTGTTCCCACAATACAGTATTAATTGAATTGTGTCCTCTATTCCAAACCTTCGACCTGATTGGCATTCATAACACCTTCGTCCCACAAAGGGTAATGGAATCATTGGAAACAATACAGAATCCATCATGCAGCGAGCATCGAAATTAACCATTATCGCCTGATTAGCTATACGTTAATAAATGCAAAGGGAGAATTCGGTTCATTTAAATATCTGCATTTCAATATATGTTCGTTTAAATTTTCGAGGACCGTGAAATATGATCTGCGGCTGACATAAAAGCAAAACAAATTTCACTGCATTTCAACACGAGGCAAAACTGAAAAACACACGCGCGCACCTGCGAAACTCAAAAAGTGAACTGAAAATTAATAAACATAACTGCATGGGGGTAAACACGAGCAAAGCGAGTTATGCCCTTTTTCTGATACACAATCTGTATTAAATATGTCTGAATTAAGCAACTGATTTCGTTATTGAGACGCTGATGGTCTATTAACTCGATTAAGGAATTTTCGGATTTCGTTACTATTTTTAAAAAGACGCACAGATCGCTACTATCCGCAGTCAGCTGAATGAAATCAAACCACCACATCCTGTCTCTCTGAGACGCACTTCAATAATTTCCTTCTTTATACAATTAATTTCCCCATATTATATCCATCCTTGAAGCATTTTAAATTAAATTTTGTAGGCATTACTTATTTTCCACGTCTCCGTCTATCGTCTTCTGTTATCTAACCTATCTACAGAAAGATGACCCACGAATTATGAAGCTCCTCGTAATTTTTTTTCCAAATTCATCCGTTATCACTTCCCAGCACTAATCTCGAGTAACACACGAGGCGAAAACATAAATGACATTAAAAATCGTTGTAAAATACGTCGAAATAAATTACGAAAGCTCCCCTACATTCACATTTGCTTCTCGCAAGGATAAATGGAACAAGTCAGGAACTATACGTGGTCTGTCGCTGCCCCTGTAACGCTAAAACCCATAATATCGACACAAAAGGTCTCGTTATTCCTCCTCCAAGTCGACAGCCATGAGTGGCTTCTCTTTTGTTAACTAGTCTTTGCTCTTAGATTTCCCACTCGATGTGCAATTTCAACAGTTTCAAGAGACGCCCTTCGACTGTTATGGCTAGAAAACGAAATTAGTGGCATTTGCATCTGACAGATCGGAGAAGTGAGTGTTTACCTGGACGGACGGACACAATGCTTCTGGACCGAAAGGCACAGATTTATGACTACAGCTGCTGCCAACGAATTTTATCAACCGAGCACTCGTAAAGTGTAGAAGTATGCAAGAGTGTCCTATCCTGTTGGTATTAGGGATAAGGCGGCCGGAGTGTGAAGCTCTCACAACCTTCGAAGAAAGTTATAAGTGGGGAAAACACGTCAGTAAAGAAAAGTGTCCGATGTTGAGTCGTTGAAAATGTGTAACGCGAGACGTGAGACCATGCAGAGAGCCACGTTTTGTAGTACTCGTTCAACTAAAGTCGACAATCGCAGGACCTCGACCTACAGATCAAAACCCACATCGCAGAAAAACACTGATATATAAGACCTATCCCTGCTCTGAATCGGATTTAAACCCGGTATCCGAGACCTTCATCGGATTCAACCAGACGCCCTTTATAACATAAAAGCACAGTAATTGAATAATAGGTGAATTAACTTCATTTCAAAGAAAAAAATCCATGGCATCTTAAATAAATCATTTTGTGATACGAACACTATCTGAAAAAATTCGATCCATGGCATCTTAAATAAATCATTTCGTGATACGAACACTATCTGAAAAAATTCATATAATATATCTCTCCACTCTCGTATCGGTAGCCTTAAACACATTCATGTTTTAATTTGCATGTTAAAGGACTTCGTCGATTCTATAAAATGATGCAAAAATTCTCATCAGACAGTCTGTACACAGAACGACAGTCTGTACAAGCATTACACGTATAAACTCATATAAAACTCAAATCAATAACAAACTCCATAAAAAACGTCAACCTTCAAATTTATTACTACTCTGAAAGTAATGGTTTTAAGGTTATAAATAAATACGTAACTTCGTATGAACATTAAACTGACATAAATAATTTCGTAGGAAACGGCACGTGAAAGTGATTTTGGGGGACACGATATTGTAAATCTAAACCCGCAACTTGGAAGAATGAAACTTTACCATAGTTAGAAGTTTATTTCGACGTTAATATTTTCCGCACAGTTGTTTCTTTCGTTGTACGCGAATTCATATAAACAAATAAAATATTTCTTTCACATCTGTATCAAATACATTAAAATTCAAACGTGAAAAATCCAAAGTCTAGTCATCTTTCCCTTACGACATCATTAAAATAAATTTAGGTTATCTGCTTCTCTCGTACATTCCGATTAATTTACGCTGTATTGTGTTTTATACAGAGCAACTCACTAAATTTCAGATGAGAGAAATTCTCGTTTCGCGTTCCTGAAACAGACAGTTCCTCGTAATTTATGGACAGAGTTTCAACCAAACTCATTAGTTCTGAGGGCGATCAGACTTAGAATCTGCAGTCATTAAACTGTGTGAGCCATGTCACTGCGTGCATTTACGCAGTACGAGGTCAAATGTTCTCAAACTATAGTCACTAATTCTCATTCTATTACGTCGAAATTATGATGAAAATTGTTCATTGTAAAATGTATATTTGACGTAAGCTTACACGACGTATCACACACTGTTCGTTCTCAAGACTGCTGCATCAGATAACAAATATAATATATTACAGAGAGTCATCGTAACAACATTAATATGCGAGTAGATATCAGCGAAACGTCGGGTATATTAGACGCGACCAGAAAGATGTACACCTATTTCAAATACACATTCTTTAAAAAATACAGGCTTAATCATTCATTCATTAATTACCTAACATGCAAATTGAAAAAAATTACGTAATTATACTTATGTCTATCTGTTGCAGATATAATTCGAATCACATGAAACACCACACTGCCTGTAGAGACACTTTTTTCCTTCGTACGTATATAGTCGTGTCTCTTTTATTTTTAATTAATTTTGACTTCACGTAAAATAGAACTTTTAACAAGCCAATAACTAACTCGATGTACAAGACTCCTCGCTGAGAAGCTTACAGTCGCACAGCTGTTCACGAATATCGTCATCTCTCATGAAAACCAAAGGTTCATTATCTTGTTAACAAAAACCCCAACTACAAGTCAATATCACGTTTCAGCTTCAGTCCATATTACATACCCTAATATAATAATGCTTTTAAAATATGGAAAACTTTCTGATAAGAAATGTTTGGATTGACATCAAGACCTCCCCATGTATAGCTCACTTTATACAAGGGAATCATAATACGTAAAATATGCATACAAACAAAAACTGTTTGCAATATCGAGGACACTAATGGCAAACGCGTTTCGAGCTCAAGAGGTCATCTTCAGTAGCATAAACGTAAGTTATTTACAAGACCATATTTATTAATAACTCACCGAATGTTGGTTGCACAGGAGTTGGTGTATTGTGTTGGACACTTAGCTTTTATATGTCTGATTGCCGTCGTTGGTCTGCGCCTGCAAACTTCAACGACACGTGGTCGTTGCTGTCAGATGTTTAAATGTGTAGGGTACATCTTAAACTCTGATATCAGTGTGGCCAACTATTCCATATGAAATTTACTTTGTTTATTACTCTGTTTATTGCCAGGTCAAATATCCCATTTGACTCATGGGCGTTCTGTTCGGTTATGATGTTTTCGTTTTTGCTGGTTTATAGATATGGAATTTTTCTAAAATGTCATGCATTTTACCCTTCGAGGCCATTCTTAACACGTCCACGATATCTTTCATAGGGCCGTATTCATATCCGTGGTCGAGGACGTGTTGGGCGTGTTAAATCTCTTCATTTATTACTTACAGTTTATAATCGACATTTTATTTCAGTAGCTCAGACTATTGAGTGTAAAATGAATTGGAAACGATGTGGAAGGAAGCATTCGTGGCCTAATTTAAGGTCATATCCCCAGCATTTTCCTGGACGGACTGACGGAAACTAGGAAGAATCTCTGTGAGGATAGCCAGTCTACGGACTGAGAAATAAACAGCATAACCGCTTTGTATTAAGTAGACAGCAGTGGCAGCCATTTGTATAAATTATCGCGATGTGCATACAGAGTCCCCTAAGATAACAATTCCTGGACAAGACCTTGAAATATGCCGCAATTTCTTCGTCCAACACACCTGAACATTTATCTTTCCAGTCTTCCTACTACGCGTTAATCGACACTGCTCAACATCAGAATTGGGTACAAAAATTCATTAAGAGCAACTACACGACACGTCCTCAACAGCGACTCACAAGCGTACTTTTCGCTCCTTATTTACAAATTTTGCTTCAGAAAAATAGTCGGCAACATTGTCAACACCCTGTACAAGGCTCCTGGTAACAAGCTGATGTTCCCCCTATAAATTGATGACCGACGAAGAAATCGATATGAGGATGAAAGTGAGTCTGGTCCACATTCCAGCACCGCAGCTTACGTCATAGGCAACTTGTGGTAATGAACCCCGAGGTGCATTGGAGGGGAAAGACGGCCGTAAATTTCGTTCCAGGGCAGTGAGTAACTCATTGAGCGCAATCACGTGCCGTCGAACAAATTCCGTAACCTAGCCCTACGGACACATATATGTGTATAAGAACGCTTACACTTTAATAGATATCTCAACGGAGGACGTGTGACCAGAACTGAAATATGCAGCCCACTAAATTACGACAGAATCTAAATCTAATTTTATATCCTGACGGAAAATATAACGTACTTCGATATCTTGCTTTACGCCAAATTCGTCCGTGCTGTGTGCCTCGCCCATAAAGTCTTCTATTTAGTAATTGCTGTACGTTTTTTCCTCGGGGTAAATAAGCCCTAACGTCACTCACCTCCATGCGACTCTATGGTAACGTGCTTTATGCCTTAATTAAGGCCGAACACGAGTCCAATTCAAAGCCTTAGGGCAGACAGACAATATTGTCTCGTATAAAATTTTCCTGTCATAAGCTTAATTTAGTAACAACGGTAACAGGCCTCGAGGAGTACAAAATGTCGTTAAATGAAATACTTATCGAAACTTTTTAAAGTCATCTGAAAGACGGAAAGTTTTTAATTACTCTCAAGCACAAAATTACACGAGCTCAATTGTTTTTGTTTTCATTATTCTGCTTTTAGTATCTGCCGTCTTTAGAACACAACAACGGTATAAGCGGGTACACGTGTTTTCGCCTGTTCACGCTGACCTCCTGCAGACTTAACAATTCCAGAAAGAAAATTAAACGACAGCGAGGCTTTTGGAACATTTTCCATTAAGGACTTTAGATTACTGTTCCCCTTTCTTAATATTTGTTCTAAATATAACGAAAAAGAGAACACGAAATCTTTACCGACATATATTTGTCTAATATTATCATGGTAACAGTCGCTTGTGCTGCTCTGTAGAGATTAAAATTAAAAAGCTACACGAACCATCCATTTCTGACGTAATAATAATTCAATTCTTTATTATTAGTGTGCTAATAATCATAATAATAGCTTGGGGAAATAGTTGACAAATCTTTACTGTGCCAAATTTCGAACTGTATAATTAACAAACAAAAGTTGACGTCAAAGTCTAAATGCAAGCCCGCAATGCGTTACGACTCTATAAACCAGCATGGACATTGCTTTGGAGAATGTTAGTCATTCGGTAATGGCAACTGTGCAGCCTAAATTTCCCCTACTTGTAACCATAACGAGACCTTCAAAATAACTGACAGACCTCCTCTTAGTTTCTCTGATCTGTTCGCAAATTGTGGAAAGAGTCAAATCCCAGGCAAGGTACGACTGGTGGGGAGGCACTCTATTGCAACAGAAGGGAAGAATGTGGCTGGTATTGACCGGTCTTCTGCCCTGCAGGGGCTGAAAACTTGGCATCCTGCACGGAAGATAGTGGAAAACCTGTGGTCCAAGGTAAACTAAGTGGGGGTGAGTTTCAGTGCCTTCTCCTTTAACGCAGCGAAGGTCAAACGGGTAGATCGCGTAATAAAAGGATGTTTACGTAGATTCAATAAATGGCCAGCCATCACCATAATTACATTTCATGGATTACTGTGTTTATTCCGATTAATTTTATAACGTTGCTTCTGAAGCGAGTAAAGATTTATCATCTTCCTACTCGTCTCTGAATACTTCTTACTAAATTCCTATTTCGTATTCAGGAGGTGGTGTGTTCCATTCTCGACTTGTAGTCAGGATTTCTCATTGAGGATTTTCTTTCCTTTCATTATTTTTTAAAAAATTACCAGACGACAGTACTGAATTATCACACAAATCATTACATATTTTCAAAATTATCTCACGATAAACATAACTAAGGAAAAGAGGACTGAAACGTAATTAACCTCTTTGAAGCCGAGAATCATCTACGATATTTAATAACTCGGTCCGTACCGCAAATAAAACATTACGAGTCACCATTACAAAGATCAGCTCGTTAATGCAGTTTGTTAAGTGAACAAGATTAGGAAAACGTGGTACTATTTTCTGAAACTAAAGAAAATAATATGCACAGAGAATTAATAAGAGTTAGTTACCCATTTGCGTAAGGAATGGTCAGTTTTAAGTTATACCGTCTCTGAATTTACATTGCTAATTCAAAGAGAATTGTGCTCCTACATTGTCCAAAAACTCTGTGAAATCTTTGACATGAACAAAAAGACGGTATTGCTTCTGAAAACTGAGCAGAATCTCTCCCCCCCCCCCCCCCCCAAA